AAGCCTTCAGCCTGCAGATGGCAATGAAGCCTTCAGCCTGCAGATGGCAATGAAGCCTTCAGCCTGCAGATGGCAATGAAGCCTTCAGCCTGCAGATGGCAATGAAGCCTTCAGCCTGCAGATGGCAATGAAGCCTTCAGCCTGCAGATGGCAATGAAGCCTTCAGCCTGCAGATGGCAATGAAGCCTTCAGCCTGCAGATGGCAATGAAGCCTTTAGCCTGCAGATGGCAATGAAGCCTTCAGCCTGCAGATGGCAATGAAGCCTTCAGCCTGCAGATGGCAATGAAGCCTTCAGCCTGCAGATGGCAATGAAGCCTTCAGCCTGCAGATGGCAATGAAGCCTTCAGCCTGCAGATGGCAATGAAGCCTTCAGCCTGCAGATGGCAATGAAGCCTTCAGCCTGCAGATGGCAATGAAGCCTTCAGCCTGCAGATGGCAATGAAGCCTTCAGCCTGCAGATGGCAATGAAGCCTTCAGCCTGCAGATGGCAATGAAGCCTTCAGCCTGCAGATGGCAATGAAGCCTTCAGCCTGCAGATGGCAATGAAGCCTTTAGCCTGCAGATGGCAATGAAGCCTGAAGGTGGCAGTGTTAATTTGTTAACAATTGTGAAATGCAATAACCGTATTAAAATCCTAACTTTAATGTAAATTATAATTTTCCTCCTGATGAAGCCACGTGATTCTGTGGCATAACGTGTAGGGGAGGGGCTTGCTGACATCAACACTCAGAACATGAGATTGTATGGTAATTACACACCGGTGACAGCTATGTTTTAGTCCGATGGTTCATGTTGGAATTGCACTGTACATAGTGTGGTGCACAGAGGCACCTATGAAATGTGAGTGCTATACGGTAAGTGGTTTTTAATAATAAATAGTCTTTAAAGGATAAAGCACTATGTTTGGTGGTCCTAGGACTATAACAAAAGGTAAAAGGGAAAGGAGAACAGCCCTGCCTCGTGTCGCTCAAGATGGCGAACGGTTTGAAAGGGGAGCCATTCACCAGCATGGACGCACTGGGTTGAGAATAAAGGGACAATACTTTGGTGGCAAAAACACGACCTCCTCAGAACTGTTCCAGGGCGAGACCTAAAAAAAAAAATCAACAATTGACCCAATCTCGGCGTTGAAGGAGATAAGGAACGCTTTCAGGTTATGTAGCTGGATTAAGATATGAGGTGAATAGTCTTAGTGGTGTTGTCCCTGACCTCTCGTCTCTTTCCAGATAGAAATATGGAGGTTGCCATTGTTAATTTCCTGACTGTCATGTCTCAGTCAATGACCTGTAATAGGTATGCAGATTAGTAACCAGAGAAAAGTCAAAAGCCCTTGTCTGCATATGTGTTCTGGAATGAAGATTTCAAATACTGAAGCAATATGTTCAGCATGACTGCCAGGCAGCTAGCATTTGCAGAATGAGAAGTCAGCAATGTAAACCTCAGGTTTCCCTAAGGAAAGTATCACTGAAAAGTCTGAACTTTTGGGTGTAGAGAGAATAGATACTACACTTCCTCTTGAACAGGTCAGCTGCTGAGAAATCTTTAAGCCCAATACACATAAGCAGAATTTCTGCAGAAATCAGCCGGTACAGTAGAATCTGGCTAATTTCTCTAGCCTGTGTGTACAGTTGTCTGACCCACTCCTGTTAAACGAGCCTGCTAGAAAACCAGCAGTCGACTAGCATCCAATCAGCACTTGCAGCCCATTGGCTGCAAGAGCCGAATGGTGTGTTCTGGCAGGAATGGGGAGTTGGTGTTTCTCCATGTCAAAACACAATAGCACAGCAGGGAAGATCGCTGTACAGCAATCTAAGCTTTTTTTATTCATCCCACTTGAACAAAAATGCATAGTGTGTACCAGGCTTTAGCCTGGCAGAAGCGAATGTCATTTGTCACAAGTTAAGAAGAATGTAAATAGCAACTTTCACAAAGCTGTAACCTGCATATGAACTTCTAAGAATTTCAGTGGCAATCTGAAAAGCCAAAATCTGCCGTCTGAACGTCTTGTGCAACTTCCGGCCGAGTGGTGCGTTCCAAACGGCCATGTTTTGATCTGGTTGATACACATACTGTCATCCTCTGCAATTCAAGCTGTGAGGTTTCTGGAGCTGTCCCTGGATGTAATGCTTATTCTGTTTGGCCAGTGGAGGCGAATAAATAATGCTTTTATGGAACTTGTGAAATGTGAGTGGCCTGGTATTATTAATTAATGATATATGGTCATTAGCAATATTACACTATATACACTTTTTTCCTTTTGCACAACTGTGGAGCTGGTTTGGAAGGCTGTATCAGGAAGTGAGTGGAAGGATCATCTAAGCCCTGTATGGTGGAATGGAGGCCTGGAGACTGTAGAGGGGGTGTAGGATCCCTAAAAGTCCTACTATTCACCAATATCTGGTGAGTGCAGTTTATGTTGGATACAGCACTTGTGGATGGTGGGAGCACATATCATAGCAGGAAAATATTTGTCTGTTGAAGCACTCTGGAATGTGGGAAAAAGGACTTTTAATTTTGTTCAAATAATTTTTTTGGACACTTTTAATTTAACATATAATTTTTTATTTTTATTTATCATGTAATTAATTTGTTTTGGGTATTGTTTTGCGCTGATTATTGTGGTTTATATTATTTGGTGTTTTGCACTAGTGCACAGCAGCAGTTCATACCTTTGTTTGGGGGATATTCTGTGGCGCAGGAGTTTGCATTTATAATAATCTGAAAAGCCAGGCTGCTAAAATAAAGATACGTTCTGACACCTTATGGTGCCTTGCTTGCTAAATTAAATTTTATATCTAGCAAACAAATGTGCAAAAAAAATGGAAATACACAGTTCCTATACCATGAACAGCTTGACCTTATCTGATGGTATAGGTGTAAAAGAATGGCAGGATATTCTATTTTTCAAAAAAACAAAGAGGAGGATTGTGCAAGCAACCACTTGGCTATCGCCAACACATTCTACTTCTCATCACTCACAGAATTCTCCTATTAAGGCTAAATTATGGAGTGCATTTACCAGACATTTTTGGAAGCATCAGAATACACTATCAGTATTTTAGTCATTCATAGGGTATATGCGGTATATAATCAGTGTATTGTAATTTTTATATATGGGACATCTTCTGTACTTTACGTCTGTAAATTATAAAGACATTTAGACAAAACATTGGGGTCAGTGCACCCCTCAGAGTGGTAAGAGCATTATCAAAGAGAAGAAAAGGCGCCATTCACCAACCCACTGCATTAGTATGTAGATGAATGTGGCTTCAGCCAGAGCTCCTCCAGCCAGGGGAGTGGGGCTGGTTGAGGCCACATTCATACTAATGCACTAGGTTGGTGAGCAGTGCCTTTTCTTCTGTTTGATCATTTCCAGGAAGTTGTCAGATTCCTACAAGTTACAATGGTCACAATGTGGTGAAGACATGTGTGTGTTGTCCTCTACTGCTGCATGGTTTTCATTTAAAAAGTGAGATCTAGTGACAGGGTCTTTTTAAGGGTCTTTTTAATCCAGATCTAGACTGACGAACACTAGCAGACAAATACCTGGTAAAAGACTCTTAAAAAAAATTAGGCTTAGTGATACCAGAAGTGGCTGGGGTTAGACCGTGGAAGGTGGGGCTTACTGCACTGTGTACAGCTAAATAGGGTTCATGAACCCATATAGCTAGCTTTATTTATACATACATACACACATACATACATTTCCCCCCCACACCTAAATTGAACACATTTATGAAGCAAGAAAAAACCCACAGTGAAGAAATGAACGAGAATAAAACCACAAAGAAATCTATGAATAGAGTAGTGGTCAAATGCAAGGTTTCATTCTGATCTACTGCAGTGAAGGCTTGAGCTATGCAAAAATGAGACGATCAATCTGTACAAGACAGATGTGCTTCAAAAATATAAAACACCATATTGAATTTAACACAGGATCAGAAAATATTTTAGACTACTTGAAAGGTTTATTATAGGCCCATGAGGACTCACAGATTAGGGAGTTAAATGGATTGCACGAGGTCAGTACAGAGAAGCATTGTGTGATGCATTTTATAGCCCCGCACTATGGCATTCAGAAGTAAAATATATGATACAAAATCTGTGTAACTGTTATTCTACATGGCTATGTTGAGGTACATTCCTCTTGATGCTACACCTTTGTGTCAAGTTGCAAATGAGTTGGCCCTGTTGGTGGTACAGATTTGAATATCTAGTAAGCACACACTTTGAATTCATTAATGTGTCAATGTATGGAATATTATGTTTTATAGCATTTTGAACATATATTTTCCTATTATAAAACAAGTTCTATTGTCAATTGCCAGACACCTTCCCTCCTATGCGCCCCAGTGCCTGCCCAGGGGGACCACCTGTATTGTGGATACCTACTCAAACAAGGCGCTGCCCAACTTAGAAATTTAGAACAACTTCAATGTTGTATCCCTAACTCTAATTTCATGTAGAAATGTGTTCTATGCATATTGTGCATCTATTGTCTGTATATTTTCTCTTTTGTAGTTTTATATAGTAACCTCTGCTGAATTTTTATGTGGCCAGAGGAGGCAAAATAAAGAGAATCGTGTTAGCCCACGAGGACTCACAACCACAACTGACTGCTTCATACATTACACAGCAAATTTTGGTATACAGATATACTACTGCTTTGTAGTAGAGTGAGTCAGCAGTTGGAAATGCTTCAAATTAGTACTGAGCAACCTTGATTTTATGCTATGGTCTTTTGATCTGTCTACGGCGGTTTTACTCTATACTTTTTGTAATTATATAAACTTTGTGCAGTGTGTGTATTCCTTTTCAATGCCAGTAAAGTCGAACATTGTTTTATTGTTATATCTGGTGAATATGGGTCTGGAATGTGAGCGGTCTACAATTTTTACTCCAAAAAACTATGAAAACCTTCAAGTGCCTCAGGAGTTGCATAGTATTTTGAATCCTAAGAAAACACAACAGAGCATATTTGTACAGACAACAGAATTACCTGAATCTCTAGCTCTGCTATATGTTGCTGGAGTTCAGCCACAGCTGCAATAGTATCTGCTTCTCGAAGTCTTACTGCCATAACTTCTTCTTTGTTCTGCAGAATATAGAAAATAAAATAGAAATATACAAGGCAGGCAATTTATAAAAATTGGCACAAAATATATTGAATAAGTACCGTGTTTTAATACTAAGTCATACAAACAGCAGACCTATGAAATTTTAATTATTTAAATGCACACATGCTGGTTTGGAGAACAAACACTTAGGGGGAGTTGATAACAAAATGTTTCCAATAGAGGTCACCTTAAATATGGAGAACTGAAGCAGGTGTCCTGGGTAAACAGTCATTTTCTGGTGCACATACCTGCCAGGTCTATAGCAAACAAAATGTGTCTGAGCTTTGACTGCTTTTAGAAACAGACCTGATTTTGATCCAGTTGTACACTTATTCCATAGATAGCACAAATACGAAAGAAAAAAAGTAAACCTTAAGCGTTTAGCAAAAGAAAAATAAATTGCATGTGACCTAATTTTTCTTTAAAGAATGTCCATTAAGCATACTTAAATAAAAAGATGATTTTAACATGCACCGGTCAGGCGTTTAGTGCAGATATATTTGGGGGTCTGGAGAGCATATTCAGTTCACTATTACCAAGATCTACCAGTGCCAATATCTACATAGGCTTGAGAGAGTACCATTGTCTATACAAGCAAGATGGAGAACTATTATCTACACAAGCATAAACAAGCACCACCATGGTGCTTCTAGGCACCGTTAAATCCTCTTCTTGGAGTTTAAGGAATACAGAAAGTCTTTCAACTTTGGGATGTCCTAAAGCAGTCCAACTGAGGGGTGAGCAACACAGCAAACAAATGCTAACAGGCCTAAGAAAACTACAGAAATTGAGGACTGCCTGCAGCTCAAAAAGTATCCTGAAAAAGACCTTTTGCCAAAGTAGCATCAGAGGAGGCTGCAAAATCCACCTAGTAGAACTCTAAGAACAAGTGAACAGAAGCCCAGGTGGCAGCCTTGCAAAACTGGAAAACAGTTGCTTGATAACAAAAAGCCCATAACGCACTTACAGATCTAGCATAGTGCAAATTGACAGGGGAGGGTGGAACACGATCCTAAAGACCATAAGGTTGATGATGGTCTGTCTGAGCCATGTAGAGATGGTGGAATGAAAAGCCGTTACATCCGTACAGGGACTATCCGGGATGAAAAAAAAGGGAAACAGTCCTCTGAAAGAAGCAGTGGCTGGGAGATAGAATAACCACATCCAAACAAAAGAGGGAAATCATTAAACTGGAGCCATACAGAAGAACAGCTGAAGGATGTCCTAATTGAGGTGAAAGCAGAAAGTACCTTGGACAGGAAAGTCCTGGTCTTCAACACCATGTTGTCCCTTATGCAAAACCAGAAAAGGTTCCATACAGGATAAGGCTGCTGGCCAAGACACTCACAATGCAGAGGTGATGAGAATAAATACAACCTTGTTTATGTATATACACACACACACATCACTACCATGTATTTCTGATGTGTTCTGGATATATCTATAGACAGAAGTCAGTATGTTTTTTGCACAATCAAAATTATGTAAAGTATAATACTGTGAAGTCATTGCGCTAGGGGGTGCTTTGCATAATATAATAGCACCTTTAGAAATATAATTTACTGAGAAAAATAGTGACAAGTTCAATATTTATTTTACCCACTGTATTTTCCGCTACTGAGTAATTCCAAAGGCTCTGACAGGGAAATACAGCAGCAGGGAGATCATGTTGAAGTTAAACAAAACAAGTCCCAGCTCTGTGGGGGTTCCTGTAGGCAAACGAAGTCTATGAGTCAATATGCTCATGCTACTAGAAGGTGACAATGATGGTGGAATTTCAGCAGCACTGCCAGCTCTCTCCTGCAAATGATCCAGGATGTTAAAAACTGGGAGGATCACTAGTTTAAAATAAGGAGAAATACAGGGACCAAACATTGGGCTTTCTGGAAAAGGTAAAAGATAAGACATTAATTCTATTTCACTGTGTGAATTCCATATATCATAAGCAGAGGAGCAGACAATTAGGAGAATCTGTTATGTTGGTCTGAAAGGACAAAGCACAGATTTGCTTTAGGCATAAAGTTTGAGCTACCATGCTTTAGGGTCGTGTGCCAATCAGTGACACAGTATTACGTAAATGAAGTGAAGAATGAGCACCAATGTTCCACAGATCTTAAGACCAGCCACTGACTATTACAAGAAATGAAAGATTAACCTCTTCATGATGAAGGTAAAACAAATATGCCTGAGCACATTCTGAAATAGACATGTGTTAGCAAAACTGTACATATCACTGCAACTACTTTGTATATCCAGGTGAATTATACCATTTTTATGGATAAAGTGGGCTTTTATTTGATCAAAAATGGTAAAGGACAATTTGATATTTTTTTTAACCACTTGAAGACTAGGCTTTTTCTGGCACTTTGTTTACATGTAACAATCAGTATTTTTTTTTTGCTAGAAAATTCCTTAAATCCAAACATTATATATAAATTGGTTTTGCAGTTTCTTTATGACACATATTTGGTATTTGTACAGCGGCAGAAATACTGCTACAGGGCGGCATGGGTGCGCAAAATCACGTATATATACACACCCTGTTCCAAATTATTATGCAAATTCTATTTAAGTGTCACAAAGATTAAATATTTTGTTTTTCAGTTTAACTCATGGATGGCATTGTGTCTCAGGGCTCTTTTGATCACTGAAAACAATCTCGGACACCTGTGATAATTAGATTGGCCGGTGAGCCCAATTTAAGGAAAAACTACTAAAGGAGGGTGTTCCACATTAGTAAGCAGAGCACCATTTTCAAGCAATATGGGGAAGAAAAAGGATCTCTCTGCTGCCGAAAAGAGTGAAATAGTTCAATGCCTTGGACGAAATATGAAAACATTAGATATTTCCCGAAAACCTAAGCGTGATCATCGCACTATTAAGAGATTTGTGGCTGATTCAGAGCACAGACGGGTTTGTGCAGATAAAGGCACATTGAGGAAGATTTCTGCCAGATCCATGCATCGGATCAAGAGAGCAGCTGCTAAAATACCATTACATAGCAGCAAACAGATATTTGAAGCTACTGGTGCCTCTGGAGTCCCACGGACATCAAGGTGTAGAGTCCTCCAGAGTCTTGAAACTGTGCATAAACCTTCTATTGGGCCACCACTAACCAATGCTAACAAGCAGAAACGGCTGCATTGGGCAGAAAAATACATGAAGACTAATTTTCAAACGTCCTGTTCACTGATGAGTGCCGTGCAACCCTGGATGGTCCAGATGGATGGAGTATTGGATGGTTGGTGGACGGCTACCCTGTTCCAACAAGGCTGCGACGTCAGCAAGGCGCTGGTGGAGTCATGTTTTGGGCCAGAATCATGGGAACAGAGCGGCTCGGCCCCTTTAGGGTCCCAGAAGGTGTAAAGATGACCTCTGCAAAGTATGTGGAGTTTATGACTGACCACTTTCTTCCCTGGTACAGAAGGAAGAACTATGCTTTCCGTAATAAAATCATCTTCATGCATGACAATGCACCATCTCATGCTGCAAAGGATACCTCTGCATCAATGGCTGCTATGGGGATAAAAGGAGAGAAAGTCATGGTGTGGCCTCCATCCTCCCCTGACCTCAATCCTATTGAGAACCTTTGGAGCATCCTCAAGCAAAAGATCTATGAGGGTGGGAGGCAGTTTACATCCAAACAGCAGCTCTGGGAGGCTATTCTGACATCTTGCAAATTCAAGCAGAAACTGTTCAAAAACTCACAAGTTCAATGGATGCAAGACTTGTGAAGCTGCTATCAAATAAGGGGTCCTATGTTAACGTGAACTGTTAAAATGTTAAGTTTGATTGAAATAGCTTTTGATTTCAGTAAATATGCTGCAAAAACAACAAATGACAATTTTCAGTTCTTTACAACCTATAAAGTGTTTTGAAACTTACTGTGCATAATAATTTGGAACAGTGCATTGGAAGTGTTTTATGTTTAAAAAAAATACTGTTATCATTAGGAGGTTTGTTCAATAAAATTTGAATTGTACTCTTAATAGTTGATAACATGAGAATTATGCTGACTGTTATTTACATCATTTAGGTAAATGAGAAAAATATCACTTTCCTAATTTGGAACAGGGTGTGAGTTTTCATTTCCAGGTAGGGGGCACACGCTCTACCCGTGCCATCATTCGTGGCCGAGGCTTTCAATCACCGGGTCCTGGCCGGTGATTAATCACCGGAGCCCGGTGATTGCAGAGCATCTCTGACGGGGAGGAGAATGGTTTGTAAACAAAACAGTTCTCCTCCCAGTCAGCTCGTTCACACTGCTTTGGATGGCTGTGCACGGCACATTTTTGACCGATAAACAAAAAATCGGTTGGCCCCGTTGCCGATGCTGCTACCAATGTCCGCGAAAAACGGCTGTTTTTCATGGATTTTCCAGCATGACCGATGACGGGCTAGCCCCACTAATGGCGTGAATATCAGCCGATTTTTTGTGCGGGCGAAAATTCGGCCGATAAACGACCAGTCTACGGCTTGCATTAATCACATCTAAAGGGATTCAGATTCTACAATTTGCCTCATTACAAATTTGCAACAGCATCTGCTGAATAATGAAAAAGTCACTCCCATTTGAAATCACTGTGCACATTCCAAAAACAGACTGTTCAGTCTTCCTGCTTTCCTTCGAGCAACAAAAGGTAGGAAACTGCAACAAAGTTTGTTACAATCCTTGTAATGCATAGTGATCACCCAGAGGGGAATATTTGTTTTTCTCAATAGAAGTGGAGTTACTCTTTAACCACTAGATGTCTGGGGCAATTTTGACATTTGTCACGTTTAAACCAACATTTTTTTCTTTTTGCTAGAAAATTACAAGAGGCGTTCTTGTCAAAGCAGGACTGTGAATTTTCCATACCGTATTTTCCGGCGTATAAGGCGACTGGGTGTATAAGACGACCCCCTAACTTTACAGTTAAAACATAGGTTTTGGCCTATACTTGCTGTATAAGACTACCCCCCACTTCCGAGGCAACAC